TACACCAGGATATATATAATAAAAGAAAACAAAAAAAGATCAAATATAAAAACATAACAATTTAGTATATAGTAACGCGTTATGAGCAGAACACTTGCAAACTATAGGCGACCAAACGTCTTATCAATAAAGTAACTGTAAAGGAACACTCTGAAACAGGGCCGATCATAGCATCGACGTAGATCATGCGGAAGAGTATTCCATAGTCGCAGACGAGCTACGCGGAACGAATTTTGATAGTAAGAGGTGCTAGCACATGGGATCACCAAATCAAATTGGGAGCGACGAAGAGAGCCACCATCTCCAAGAGGCCTAAACTGGAGTTGATTAGTAAGGTACTCAGGTAGACCATTTTGCAAGATTGAGACCAAGAGGCATAACGAGAGGTACACTCGTCGCTCAGTAAAAGGCAGTATACAAAGTGCTCTGTATACAGGGGTGATGTGTTCGGAACGACCAACATCGGTGACAAATCTTAAAGCAGCATTTCTGTAACGAGACAACTTAGTGACCAAAACACCTAATAGGTCCAACGCAATGCCGGAACAGAAATCAAAATAGGGGAACACGAGGGCACTAACTATATTCAGGCGAATTAAACGGGGCAAGGCATCGCGGTATCTCTGAAGACGAGCGAGGGCAGCATAACTCTTTCGAGAGGTTTCAGTAGCAAAAGGGCCCCAAGAACTGTACAGTTGGCCGTCAAGGGTAGGGGCATGGTTAGCCTCACTGAGAATGGTGGACAAATTTCTTCTAGAAACAAACCATATGGAAAAAGATTTGCGCCAGTTAGGAGAAAGACAATTGTCATTACCCCAACCCAAAACATGATCCAGATCATCGTTTACGACCGCAACAATACGACGAATCTGGCCAACTGGGCCAGAGAATTTTAGGACGAAGTCGTCAGCGTAGAGATGGCACGAGCAAGATGTAAGAGCTGAGGGCAAATTATTAATATATAAAGAAAATAATAGCGGTCCACATAGAGTACCCTGAGGAACACCCTAACAACGATCAAGCCAACCAGAGGTCAAACCACCCCGCATCTTAACCGCCTGTGAACGCCCAGAAAGAAAAGACTTGATCCAGCCGCAAGCAAAATCGGAAAAACCAAGAGAAAGGAGCTTTATTACTAGCACATCAATATTGAGCTCATCGAAAGCGCGTCGAAAGTCCACGGACACTAGTAACGTGACATGACCCACACCCGTGGACGCCCTAATTTCATCAACAAGATTGATCAGTGCAGTATGAATACTGTGGTGCTTACGGAAACCCGACTGCTGAGGGCACAGCAGTCTGTTAGACTCCACGAAAGTTTACATCTGCCTGAGTGCCACCGCCTCGAGAAGCTTTGATGGCGCGCATGTCACGCTAATGAGCAGAAAATGATTCAACTCAGAGGGTTGCTTCACCTTAGGTAGAGGGGTCACAAGTGCTTTCTTCCAAACAGTCGGGAATATACCCGACTGAAGGGAACAATCAAATATGTTTAAAAGGATGAGCGTAATGAAAGGCATGGCGAGCTTTAACATCTGCAACGTGACCCCATTTACTCCACAGGCATTGGTCTTTGATCCACTAAAAGCCTCAAGCAAACTCAACTCATTAATATAGCCGAAAAAAAATCTATCCTTAAATGGCATATCACATGATCGGCCAGCAAAGGAGCCAGTCACCAACGGAGCACCCATAAAATGTCGATTAAGGGTGTCACCATCGAATGCGATAGCAGGTGATGCACTCGCACTCGACGATGCTCCAATATCACGAAGACTTTTCCACATGTCCACAGGACGCCTACAGGACAAAAGCCTATCTCTATTATAAGCGTAAAGCGCATTTCTAGACAGTACTTACACCCTGTTACTTAGACGGCGAAAAGCTACCCCAGGTATATCACGCCTGGCTCTCTTATACAACCTCTACTCTCTATTGCATTCTCGAATAAGAGAATGAATCTCATCCGTCATCCATGGGCAAGGGCGGCACCAAGGAATGAACGCACAAAAAGGAGCATGGATGTTAAAGAGGTTTGTAAGAGCATTCGTAAAAAATTCAACTTTCTTTTCCACGTGACACATTCGAGCAATAGACTGCCAGTTAACCGATATAAGGTTACGCTTAAAATCATGCAGAACAAGGCCCCTGAATGAGTGGGATACAATGGGCTGAGATTCAAACGCCGGAAGAAGACAACGGATCTCTAATAAAACAATATCATGCCTCGAGATACCAGGAGCGCTGAATTGGACACTCCTCTCAACCAAGCTCGGATCGCTATTGCAGATGTAATCTATAGTACTATCCGAGGTGGTTGTTTGATTTGTTGGATCAAATACCGTAGCCGAGAGGCCCAAAATTGCAAACGACTCACGAAGTATTCTGCAAGGAGTAGTGTTGACTGTCCAATCAACATTGAGATCACCCAAAAGCAACGAGCAATCGAAGGTAGTCGAACAATTCATGATCGCGTCCTCAACGTCCGACCAATAGCCACACTTAGATGGGTTATACACAATAGTGCAGAGAAACTTGAGTTGCAGTATAGATAATTCGAGCAACAGAAACTCAGATTGGAGAGAGTAGGCATCAGCGCGAGCCGAACGAGAAACATCACGAAATTTAATAGAATCATGAATGTAAGCTGCAACGCCACCACCACCCTTACAGAGCCTATCATGACGAACGAGGGTATAACCCGGAATATCAAATTGGCCAAAATGTTTAGTCGGCTTCAGCCACGATTCACTGACAGCAAGATCATGCAAACCATTGTCAAGAGTGATCGATCTAATTTCCTGAAAATGCGGTTCAATAGATTGCGCGTTACAATGTGCCACTTTTAGTAAATTGAAATTACGTGACATAGTTTGTCGAAGAAATTTTACGATCGATCAATCTCAATAACAGCGGGCAGGCTGCCCTATCCGAAGCAGCATGAACGACAGATTTCAGCTTTGAAGTCACACAATTTACGCAACGATATTTCTGTTTATCAGCGACCGTGCACTCACGACCAGGATGCTGCCCACTACAACGCTCACAAGATAACCAACCCGTGCAATTTACGGCAATGTGCCCCAATCCCCAACATTTAAAGCATGGAGGAATCGATACGGATCCTGAACACGACAGCGGCTCTACCCAATCGTCACACGACCAAGTTCAAGTAGACAAACACGACTGACAGGAGTGACCTCCACAACGCAAGATCTATGCTTTTTATTACCCCTGGGGTAGAGAAAAATTGCTTTAACTGCAGCATCAGATTCACCCTGCAAGTTCTGCTCACGAACACATTTTGCAATTTCGTCTTTTTAGAGCTCCACGGGAATATCGTGAATAATCAGACGAGGCGCAAGCTTAACATCCGGCTTTAACTCAAAACCTGCTTCAACGAGCGCAGGGCATTTTTCAATAAAAGAAGACTTCATCGCAAAACCCTCAAGAATAACAGTACCCGCAGGGCCCGAATAGACACGCGCATTGAGACCGAGTTGAACCGGGTCAACCACACCCATTACTGCCTCTCTAGCATCTTTAGGACGCTTAAACCTGTCCTTCGCGTCATCCGTCGGACCAACTACAATACGCTGCCTTGGTAAAATTTTGATTGGATTAGTACGCGGAAGTAATACGCTGTTAAATGGTACATTTGACGAACCGAGTGCAGTACCACGCGATACTGCACTCGCATAAGTGCGGGCAGGTGATACATTAGTAATGCTACATGACGGCTTCACAATCGCCTTCGTGGCACGGGAAAGCGATCGGCATGCACGATTGAGAGCAGACTTACATGACGTTGAAGCGTCGTCTGCCGCAAGTCTCGAAATGTATGCATTAGATATCCGCGTAATAGCCTTGGAGAAGGCAACAGCAGCATCGAAAATTGCTTGTCTCCTGGGAGAAACCTTCTCATTACCATAAGCAGCAATTAAGGTAGCACGGTATTCATTAACATCTACCAAAAGCTTATTGACATCATCACTCGTTAGCGCAAAGGGAATATCTTGTTGGTCACTCGCAGTAGACTCACAATCAGAGAAATCTCCCTCGCTAGTCTCGCTAATGACAGACATACCTTAGCATAACACCATCACAGTAAATAAACACACCAACACTAATACGCTCAACACAGCCAAGTCAAGGAGTCCCAACAAGCAGCAGCAGGCAAAACAGGGAGCACCAAACTGATGACAGCAATAGTAAGCAGATCGTAAAAGCAACAGCCACCGGATGGCGCCACCAGCAAGTGAAGCTGATCTTCAAGGAGATGATGTAGCGTCCAGGACTCAAGGCCACCAATAGAATCACGAAACGACGCAATCACACTCACCCAGCCGCACCGCAGCCTCAGCCACCCTCACAAGAGCTCCAGCAGTACACCAGGTCGCCCAGAGAGCACACCAACAGCAGATAGCAGATTGAGGTTATGGCACCACAGCAGGGCAAAAAGAATACTTCCTCAAGCACCAGGAGACCTTGGACACCAAAAGCAAGGTAAAGGCCCACCCTGGGTCCGAGGAGGGATGAACCTGACAAAAGAAAACTCCAGTGGAGGTATAAGTAAAAAGCCAGGTAGAGAAAATGCTAGAGCTCCAAAACACACGTCTTAGCAGATACACACCTCAAAAAGAAAGAGAGAGAGAGAGAGAGGGAGGGAGAGAGAGAGAGAGAGAGAGAGAAAGCTGCTGATCCTAGATTGGAAGGATCTTTCGAGAGGTAAGAGCGAATGACGCCAATTAGGTGGTGTGGGTACTCGAGCTGGATCAGCTTGTGGATTAAGCCGTCGGCGTCGTGCCAGACGTGATCGAAAGCCTGGCGGATGTTCAGAAATTCCATGTCAGTGTGGCGTCGTTTGTTGAGTTTGTCAGTGACAAACTCAGTTACTCTTAGTAGTCAATGGCCTGTTCCATGGTTTCTCCTGAAGCCAAACTGAATGTCAGGAATAATGTTCGAGTATGTGAAGTTTTGGAGTCTGGTTAGCAGGATAGTTTCGGCAACTGCCAGGAACTGGAAAAAGGCTGATTGGCAGGTAGCTTTCAGTAGCTGTTAGTGATTTTCCTTGCTTCGGGAGGAAGATAACTATGGCTTCTTTTCAAGCTTGTGGAAAGTGCTGGAGTCACATGGTGGCATTGATGATATTTGTGAGGGCAACTAGGTGTTTCCTAGGAAGAATTTGTAGCATTTTGTTTTGGATGCCTTCGTTGCCCCGGGCTTCTTGGTTCTTGAGGTTGCGGATGACCGAGCTGACTTCAGCCGGTGTGCAGTGATGAAATTCGGCCGAAGTAGGGTGAAGTCATTAGCCTCGTTAGATGTGTTTTGGTGTGTCTTGGCCAGGTC